GGATTCACTGCCTTATACCCATACGAGGAATAAATTCCTACGAAGGTATAAGGTAGTATCCCATGGGTTATTTGCTAAAACTCATACGAAGAATAATTCTTACGAGAGTAAAGCAATCACCCTAACTAATTTGGATCGAAACTCATGTCTAGAGCTCATGTTATGCTAATGAAACGATGTGTGAGAAACAAACAAACCTTTGACTCAAAAAACGGGAAAATAAAATAAAAAATAACACCCAACGAGAACTAAGAAATCTGAAAAAATGAAAACAATTAAAATGTTAGTATATAAAAATAAAGAGATAATAATACATAAAATTCAATAAATAGATCATAGTTTTACTAAAGATTCGAACTTATAATTTCCACCATAACGACCATATATAAGCAACCGACAGCCTGACTCTCTGTCAGTCCCAGCGGAGCGCCAAGCTGTCATAACCATTTTTTTTGTAAAACAATTAAATTTATTTTAAAAACAATTATGACTTTAAATTGAAAAAAAATGAGTGATTTTGAATTGATTTGAATTAAATTAAAAATGGAGTCGCCATCGACCTTTGGGTTAGGTAGGTCGAATACCTAAAAAATCTTTTAAAAACAATTTTAAGAAAAAATCATTTTAGACAAAAATGGTCTGCTACAACCAATGTCATTTGATGGGTTCGGGAGTCGGTTACGCGTGGGGAAGGGCCCCACACAACGCCCAAAAATGGTACTGTGTAGCTTACATGTTGTCGTAAATGGTGGAAATTACAATCGAATATAAAGTAAAATATGATCTATTTATTGAATATTTGTTAAAAATAGAAATACTTCACTTGGTAAGAAATCTCAAGATTTGCAATCCTCCAACGGGAAAGCTATCTCATCTATTTCTTATCTATAAAGTATATCCTATCTTTGAATTACCACTAAATATTGTCATGAGTAGAAAATAAATATGCTTAATTTATGTATCGTTAATATTAACATAACAACCATTAATACAATAAAATTATGAAAATAGAATAATAAATAAATTATGATCTATTTATTGAATATTAGTTAAAATAAATAAAAAAAAAAATCCTTTTCTCGATAAGAAATCCCGAGATTTGCAATCCTCCGCAGGGAAAGCTACCTCGTCTATTTCTACTTGTAAAGAATATTTCTCTTTAAATTAAAAAATGACGAAAATTGACATAATGCATCATACTATACTTTTCCAAAGCATACATCACTCATATTAAGATTCAATGAAGAATAATATAAAGATTAAAATTTAAATATTAAACAATATGACATCAAATAAATTAATCAAAAATAACAAAAAATAAAATAACAATAAATAATTTCATAAGCTTGTAAAAGGAAGAATTGCATTTTTTATTCTGTTTGAACGTCGTATCGGATTGTACCACTTCGATCAGTGATACTTTCCACGCCCGTTCTATAAATATGTGTTCTTGAAATTATTCGAATAATATACAATAGAGAAATAATGGGAATAAATATAAATATATATGCGACATAGAATGTTTATATTAAATGAAACAACAACATTATTCATAATACAAATAACCAAAAAATATGTAAAATACATTCATACATAAATAACTAAAATAAAACTAAGTTAACATTACAAACCAAAATACAAACCAAATAAGCACATATGATAATTTCAGGACCAAAATGACGTTAACCAAGCTTGAAGGGCTAGAATAATGTCAAAATGAATTTAAGGACCAAAATACAAATACAGAAATTAAAGAGTTAAAATCGAAGGAACATAAGTTAAAGAACTAAACTGAAATTACACAAAACATGAGGGATCAACAAAATATTTAAACCAAATACCAAAACAGTGACTAAAACAGAGAGCATAAATCTGAGGGCCAAATTCGAACATCAGCTAAAATCACACAACACATGCAAATAAGGACTAAAACGAATATTATATGAAACGAGCAACCAAAAATCTAAACACTAGAAAGTATAATACTAATCATATAGGATTAAAACGGAACAAGAAATAAATAAAGAGCTCAAATAGAAAAGATGAAATTTCATTAAGGATCATATTACAACCATTACAAAGCTAAAGGGATTTAAAATGTAGTTATCCTAAGAAAATAACAAAACACGGAAGAAGTTTGAGGACCCTACTGTCATTATCCCCTTTTAACCCAGCGTCCGACCTCCCCTGTCTCAGAACGACGTCGTTTGACGTCTGAGATATACCCTTTAAGGGTTATTATGAAACCCTAAAAATCATTTCCTCTTCTCATCCCTCAGCCGCAGACCCAACCCGTGGGAGAGAACTCTCCCTCGGCTCACCCGCCATGGGAGGCGACCAAGCCTCCTGCCACCGCTATCAGTGGCCACCAAACCGATCAACCATCCCCCACGACGACCTCTCCTTTGAAACCCGACCTCTAGACCCCAAACCACAACTTATATCAACCGAACCAACCCCCCCAAAACCAGAAAAACAAGGCTTTACTTCAGATATGGGGCTAGCTGGGATCGGGGAAGGTCAGCGAGATTCACGGTGGTGGTTAGAGAAGGTAAAACTTTTCTTTTTTCCTCTTTTTTTTTCTGTTTCGATTTTCTCTCCGTATCTTTCTTCTCTTTTTTTGTTCTTTTATCTTTGCTTCCCCGGATTTCTGGTGAGATGATGATGATATCTAGGTAGAGCCTGGCTTTTTTGATTTGGTAGGATAGAAATCCCGAATATTTAGGGATTTATTGGTATTTAAATTTGGAAATTAGATTTTGTGAGATTTGAACGTATATGATGCATTTCTTGATTGGCTTTGCTGTAGATGACAATAGTGGAACATTTGGGGTCAGGCCGGAACAGTGATGGTGGCGGCGTCCGGGAAGCTGAGGAGTCACACGGCGGATGAACTCCAAACAGAAGTGGCGGCTGAGTAGGGTTAGGGTTTGAAACCCTAATCTGTTTTAGGGTTTGAAACCCTAAATTGTTTTAGGGTTTGACTCGGTTCCTACGTGATGAGGACGGCTGGTTATCAGGTTGACACGGATCTTACGTGATGAAGAGATCTGGCCATCTAAAGGAAGGGTGATAACTCGTTCCTACGTGATAAGGAGTGGTTATCCTAATGTTGACACGACTCCTACGTGATGAGGAAGTCTGGTCAGTTGATGTTGACTGATTCATTGCTTCAATAAGTCTTGAAGATCCTGTAAAAATGGTCATATGCCATGATTTCATGTAGCCATATGCCCTAAGGATGATCTAAAGGCATGTTTAAAGAGTTATGCTCAGTTCGATCCTGGCATTGGGAATCTCTCTACTCCTTGACGGAATATGCGATATTATGCGTTTGTCCATGCCTGGTTACTTCCTTGACCTCATTAAATATTCTTTGACTTGGTCCTTCTGATCTACCCGAGAGAGTTTATCTTACCTCTTTGATTCTTGGTCATTGATTGATTTTTCAGAGAGAGATCTGGCCATCTAAAGGAAGGGTGATAACTCGTTCCTACGTGATAAGGAGGTTATCCTAATGTTGACACACTCCTACGTGATGAGGAAGTCTGGTCAGTTGATGTTGACTGATTCATTGCTTCAATAAGTCTTGAAGATCCTGTAAAAATGGTCATATGCCATGATTTCATGTAGCCATATGCCCTAAGGATGATCTAAATGCATGTTTAAAGAGTTATGCTCAGTTCGATCCTGGCATGGGAATCTCTCGCTCAGTTCGATCCTGGCATGGGAATCTCTACTCCTTGACGGAATATGCGATATTATGCGTTTGTCCATGCCTGGTTACTTCCTTGACCTTCATTAAATATTCTTTGACTTGGTCCTTCTGATCTACCCGAGAGAGTTTATCTTACCTCTTTGATTCTTTGGTCATGATTGATTTTTCAGAGAAAATTCATTCAGAATGCCTTTCCTTGTGCATGCCTTAAATTGGGACTTCTTTGCTTGGGAAAAGTATGATTATGTTGAAACTGATTTCTTTAATTTAAACCCTCTTTTTTTCTCAATGATTTGTTTAATGATTGATGGAGCGTGCCTTTGTATGTGTTCTCTGGCGAACACCTGTTTCAAAATCCCATACTCTGACATTTCCGAGTAAGGCATAATAACCGATGTTATTGATTAGTAATTTGGTGAATATATGCGAGGATATTGAATCAAATTCAAAAATTTCACTGAAGATAGGTAATGAGAAAGTAAATCTTTGGGACAAGAAAACAAGTATATACAAAGGAAAAAATAATGGACAAATATAGTGAATATCAAATGCTGAATCCTTTTACTTCTTCACTCCAAATCTTTCTTGAAAGTTGACATGTGTTTCGAAGATTCAGATCGTACAAAAGATGTTTGAGTATGAGAGTCTTCCCTAAAACTGTTAGGCTTCCGAGGGAATCCACCATTTCAAATTTGATTATTCGAGCCGTCCATTACGGATTTTCACTCGAATCCTCCTTTGGTTTCAAGATGCCCATTTTGGGTTTTCATCTTGAACCCTCCTTTTTTTTTCTTCTTTTTCATTTTCATTTCCTTCTCTTTTTTTTTTTTTTTTTTTTAAGTGTAATATCGCTTGACGAATCTGAATTCACGGGATTAGGCAAATCTTCTCCATCCATTTTGTAACACCAAAGCTCCTCCTGAGAATGCCTTTTTACAAGATAGGGACCTTCCCAGTTCGGCATCCACTTCCCTCGAAAGTCTTTTTGCATAGGTAAGATCTTTTTTAGTACCAAATCGCCTTCACGAAATTCTCGAGGTCTGACTTTTGTCATATGCTCGTATCATCCTTTCTGGTACATTTGGCCATGGCAGATAGCTCTCAGCCTTTTCTCCTCAATCAAATTTAATTGATCAAACCTACTTTGTACCCAATCAGCCTCGTCTAGTTTCAAACTCCATCAATACTCTCAAAGAAGGTATTTCACTCAATAGGTAAAACGGCTTCCATCCCATATACCAAAGAGAATGGTGTTGCCCCAGTAGATGTACGATGTACGAACTGGCCCTTCTATAGAAGACTTTCCAACAGGCTGCTCTGATCTGGCATACCCCATTCCTTCCTGCCCAAACATAACAGTACCTCACAAATGTCAGACAATCATTACAATCTTCAATAAAATTTGAACATCTTTTTCAGATGGATAAATCAGTATGAACCAATAGGCATCAGAAAAGAAATTTGGGAATCTTTGAGCAACCCCTTTTCTACAGCTGGGATTCAAGAATAATCCCACTTCTATGGAACAGTTTTGACATACAGACTCGACATCAGTTTAATGTTACAATTCGTATCCCTAACCCTAAAAGATTAATAACTACCACTGGCACAATTCCTACAGTCAATTAACCCCCGACAGTAAAATATCTCACTCATATCAATAATTAAATTATTCAACAAGTAAAATAGCCAACATTCAAAGATTCTTTCTTCTCCATCTTCAAATATCCGAAATTTTAACATTTAAGGGCAGGATACAAATTTGATTGACTCACTTGGGCCAACAATTTGCTGGAAAATGCTCAAATGGATGGATGCCTGCAGATCCACAGTGATTTCCATAACTCAATTCCTCCCCAGACTTGTTAAGAAAATGGTTATCACTGCCAGATAATGGTGGAAAGAAGGCCTTCTGTAACCATGGATAGGAATCTCTTGGATCAGCTACAGAACTGAATGTTCCACCATTCTGGCCATTACCAAGAAAAACTTTCCGAGGAGACCATTTGCCAGCAAGTATATGGTCCTCTTTTGTGAACAATGACGCCATAGCTTTCTGAGAAGAAGGGTGCAAAAAGTCTTCCTTGTTAGATCTATTATGTACCAAGGGGCAAGAACCAGCTTGCGGGATCACCCACCAAGCCCAGACCATCCTGATCAAGGGGAGAACTGTTCCACATCTGCCATGTGCCTTTCTCATTTGTATTAGCATCATCCACAGTAAAAGACGGAAGATCTTGGGCCTTTGGGGTAATTGGGAATCTGCTAGAATTCGCATGCCTTTCATCAACAGATCGTGATCTTGACACTGGAGACTAGAGGTGAGGGCTTGCTAATTTCAGCAGCAGATATATTCTTCAAACCACAAGGTCTTTCCATTCCCACGTCTATTCCAAAGCCAGCACCAAAGTCCAACTGAAAATTATCAAGTGACTCAGAAACAGGCCCAAGCAAGGATACCGGATCAGGAACATAATAGGGGTCATCAAAAGCTCTGGTTCTTCCTGTATAAATTCGTTGAAACCCATCTGCAGCATGAGCGAAATGGGTTCAATAGCTGTGTGAGAATCCTAAACTTTGGGGATCCCATTTGTGTACATAGACATAACGGAGATGGTAATCCAAAATTGATAGGATTATCAAATGTTTGTATTGTTGAATGTTCTGGAAATGGTGGGCTCTTAGCTTCTGCTTGAATCCTTGAAGTTGATCTACTAATAACATAGCATTTGAGATTGGAGGAGCAGAAGTGAATGAGTAATAACTGTTGCCACGATTTTTTAGGTGCTGTCCTCAGTTGGGGTTCTGAATTCACCTGCAGTGAACAGCTCCATAATTTAGCATTGTTTCCTTCTACAGAAATTGCTATTATAGACAAAGACCATAATCTTCAAGAGAACATCAAATTCTACAGTAATAGAACATGCCAACTCCAGGGGAGGATGCAGTAAAGCGAACCAAACAATCAACCTTCTCTTCCTAATGTATTTGTAGCTTGCATGAGACAAAGAATAGGAAATAAGTGTGGTGTCACATACATGGGGAAAATGAGACGGTGATTCAATTACACTGACTACATGGTAAGCATTGTACTAATTTCAAAAGAAAATGTCTGTATTTTGTATTTATACAAAAGGTAAGAATTGCACTAATTTACTAAAACAATGAGCTCAAATAAAAAATTTAGAAAGCTTAAAGGCTGGTGATTTTAACATTCTTATCATCTCCATTCATACTCAAATTCCCAGCTAGTCGCTCAGATGGACAGAAGTCTCTCCAATTAGCCGAAGTATGGCATGGTCTACAGGATTGTTATTTTGTTTTGTAACAATAGCAGGAGTATTAGTCTTTCCAAATAAACTACTTCCCGTGAAAGCTTTAGACGATGACAAGAATGTACCCTCATACGATCGAAGTATCTAGTTCCACCATTTCCCCGACTAAAATTAATTGCAGAGTATTTTTGGTCCAGTTTCCTGTTTCAAGAACACTGCCCTTGAGATTATCTGTCCAAGACTTCGGATGTTCCTGGAATCAATCTCACTCTTCTTATCAATGTCATGCTTCCGTTCAGTTTCCTTACAGTTTTCTTCTCAAGCACTGCTGCATAAAGTGGCTTTTACCAGATGCTTTATCTTTCCTTCTCTCTTTATACTTATTTTCTGCTTCCTTTTTTAGTTCTTTCTCCCTAGCAGGTGATGACAATTTGCTGCGATCTTTTCAGCCTCCGGTCTTCCATCCCTCAGTCTCCTTCGTTCTTCCACCAATCTTTAAACCTCCTCTTTGCTCTCTTTTCTTGCTCTAAAAGCTCCTTCTCTAACTTAGCCTGTCTCTTTTCTTCAGCCTTTCTGCGTGCTTTTTCTCCTCTGCTATCATGAATGCTTGTTCCATTATCGTCCCTCTTAGCCAACAGGCCCCTGTAGTCTGCATTAGATAAAGCATCGCAATTTGATGAATTAACCCCAAAAATCTTTCTCAAAAGCCACCTAATGCTCAAGAAAGGCATCTTATAAGCTTTGGGAATTCTATATCCTCGACCTGTTCCTCTCCCTGAGGCGGGAATTCTTTCTAACCTCCAAGCAGATAGCCGGGGCATTAAAATTTCATACCAAAACAGAGTTTCCAAAAGCACTAAAACGCAAGCCAGACTGGGGAGGTGATTTCGAATCGAAAATCAGGTGGAAATAGCTGAGAAAGTGCCCATAAACCTATGAATGGTATAACCAACCAGGCAGCATCGAAGCAACCCTGCGAGACCACTTCTGAATAACACATAGTATACATAATCCTCTAAATCAAAACTATCTTCACTCTTTCGAAATCTCCAAAATAAAACCCCCAATCACGCAATTTCCTCCTCCCAAATCGAAACACCAACCCTAATATTCTCGTTCTATATCAAAATAGATATAATTCAAAGCAGCAATTCCTAAAGAACCCTAAGCATTTATAATCGTGAATCCTTCAAAGAAAAAAAAACTAACGTCGAGTTAATATTTCAATTTTAAATGAATTAAACGCATTGAAGAATAGAAGAAAAGCACTAGAAATGGATCGATTCAGTTTTTTATTTCCCCCCAAAAGTTTATTTCTAAAATCGATTCAGAGTTCATTTCGGAGCTTAATCGGGTCGGAGCTGTATGTGAAAATAGATAAAAAGAGATGGATGCAGAAGAAAATAAGGAAACCTACTTCTTTTCCTTGGAAAAATTGTTTTTCAAGAAAAATAAGCAACTCTCTGATCCGGTTTCTTATGCCGGCTTTTTGGTAGACCGTTTCGTTAAAATGGTCGACTTGCACTACATTAGGCCGAAGGTCTAAAGCTCTTCTATGAAAATTACTTACTGGAAAAAATAAATTACTTAAATATAATTTTGTTCACTTTAAGAATTTAAAGTATTTTTTCGACAAAAATATTTTATTTTTAATGTTATTATTCTAAATACCTCATCAGTCACAATTTAATTAAAATATTTATTATTTTCAAAAATTTTCAAGATTTCTTTACCATTTCTTCTTCATGGTCGTGAGTTTTACAAGAGAAACGTTTCTCTTTTCAATTTCAAGCCAAATTGTTAAGATTTTGAATGAAAGCATGAAATAAAAATTTATTCTACATGAAATTATTTATCATTTGGTACCATTTGTTCATGTTTTCCATGCTTGAAACCTTAAGTTCTTGAATTTGATGGATGAAGAAGATGTTAGTTTTTCATGTTTTAAGGTTAGATAATGATGTAGTTGATGTTGTTGAATCATTTTCATGTTTAGTAGTTACTGAAAACCATTAAAAAAGAAAAAAATCCCAATTTGACCAAGTTATGGTTTTTGGTATGAAATTGAAATTGATATGGGATTGGTTGTAATTGCTTGGAAATGATGTTTAGAAGATGAATACATGCTTGAATCAAGTTAGAAATCCTACCTAAGCATGATAGGTTCGGTCTATGTATGAAAAATAGGGAAAATTATCCAAGGGTTAGCAATGATGAATGGATGATTCTATATGATATGATCTCGATTATATGTTCGAGTCATATATGTGAATGGTCGATCGTGATTCTAGTAAGAAATCTCGTAATAATAGCTTGAACTTTGAAATTGCATAAAATAACATAAGAAGGAACGATATGAAATAATAATTGAAATGATGGAATGAAAATGAGGAATTTGTTGAAGGTGATGGAAGAGTGATGGTCGTTGTGGTTTAATGATATTGAAAATAGATGGTGAAGTATGAATGGTGTTGTCGTGGCAAATGGTGTTGTCGTGGTAGTGTTGTAAGGTTAAAGCGGATTGTGACCCGTAGCTATTTGGAGTTAAGAACCAACAATATAAAAAGATGGAATCGAATGGTAGGGTATGGAACGTGACACACTAGCTATAGATGAGTTAGGAACCAACGATATAACAAAGGAAATGGATGAAGACTACAAGACTATCTTGAGCCGATAAAGTTCTACAGAGAACAAGAATGAAAGCAACCTCTCAAAGATGTTTTATATATTCAAATGTGTATCTACAAATGACCCCAAAGGTGCCTATTTATAGTGTTTCTAAGTAGCATATGAAAAGACTCAAAAGATGAAAACATTCTCATGAATTTAGCAATAAAATGCACTTGAATGATTTGTCTTCTTATCTTCAAGGTTGGATGAATATTCTAGATCATTTGGGAATGAATCTAGACAATTTGAAGCTGAATTTGGCCTTAATTTCGTCCAAGGGGTGGAAGACTCTTGTTATTCCATGCTGAAAGTGTTTTTAAACAAGTGAATTAAATCACCCTTCATTGCATGCTCCCTTGAAGAATATGAACAACCCTTGAATTTAGATGATAACAATCAGCTTGAATGCCTTGAATGGGTGAATTAAGGGTCCTTCAATGGCTTGTCACTTGGATGAAGTTGAAAAACTCTCCCTGGCTCAAACTCATCCAAATCATCCATGCAAATTCTCGTAACAAAATTCCAGCCTGCAATGTCTTCAATAAATCGATCATATCTCAAGCTTCCGTTATCGGATTAAGGTGATTCAAAAGGCGTTGGAAAGCTAAGAGATAGATGAATAATTTAAAATTCATTTCTAGAACCAAACACGTCTGTATCGGATCCAGAATTGGAAGACATTCTGACGGCATTCTTGCATATGATGAAACCATTCAACTTCTCGTGCACTACACACAAAGGTGAACTTTATTCAATATTTAATTGAAAACATGCATGAAAAATTAAGAGATTAATAAACGAACTAGTTTAATTAATGAGCTACTTCCCTAAATGAACTAGATGATTTAAATGCAATGCATGCTTGAATGAACAACACACTTATTAAATGCAATGAATGTTATGCAAACTTGATGTAAACATACTCTCCATGGCTGCTTGAAACTCCTTAGCCCTTTCTCGTGTGATGGGGCCACTTGGGTACTTCTCCGGGTCTTTGCAATTGGCGATCAATCAGTCCCTCCCTTTAAGGCGATTTGTCCCCAAATCGTCACCTATATCATAAGGAGACAAGTCAGCAACATTGAAGGTTGCACTGACATTAAACTCACCTAGAAGATCTAATTAATAGGTGTTGTCATTGATCTTCTTGACTATTTGGAATGGTCCATCTCCTCGAGGCATTAATTTGGACTTTCGTTGAGCCGGAAACCTTTCTTTCCTCATGTGTAGCCACACCCAATCCCCTGGCTCAAAAGTAATTCCCTTACGACCCTTATTTTCTTGCTTCTCGTATTGCTTAGTTCGTTTTTCAATGTTCTCCCTCACTTGTGTATGAAGCTTCTTAACAAACTCAGCTTTGTTAAGTCCATCTTTATTTACAATTTGATCAGCGGGTAATGGTAACAAGTCTATCGGTGTTAATGGATTGAACCCATATACCACTTCGAAAGGCGTACGCCCCGTTGTAGTATGGATTGAATGGTTGTATGCAAACTCCACATGTGGTAAACTTTCCTCCCATGTTCTCAAATACTTCTGAATGATGGATCGAAGTAACATGGAAAGTACTCGATTCACCACTTCAGTTTAACCATCCATTTGAGGGTGGTAAGTGGTGGAGAATAGTAGCTTAGTACCAATCTTACTCCATAGGGCTCTCTAAAAGTGGCTTAAGGACTTCACATCCCGATCAGACACAATAGTTCTAGGTATACCATGTAGCCTTAAAATTTCCCTGAAAAACAAAGTAGCAATATGTGAGGCATCATTAGTTTTGTCACGGGGAATGAAATGAGCCATTTTTTAAAATCTATCAACAACTACAAAGATAGAGTCTTTTTTGTTCTTTGTGCGTGGAAGC